CTTCTATAATTCTACTTATCAGGATCAGAAAACTCAAAATATCCACAAATATGGGTTGCTGTTTTGCTCAATAAAACTTGTCATACTTGATTCAGCAATATTAAGAATACATCACCAATCAGTGAAGTCCAAAACCAATGTTTAAAAATGCACTTTTTAGATGGATTTATTCATAAAGTAGAGAGTAATGTGTCAGTGGCTTCAATGTGAAAAATAAAAGAAGTGGTAAATTTATAGATAATATATTTTTACACATTTTGGCTCTTTACCTGGAGAAATATAGCTAGCTCGCCTAGGAGTGTGTCTGCTGTCCAGCACCTGTCATGTCGGCTGAGTGTCACCCACGTCACAGGGTGTCGCAGAATGACAGCTCCCAATGTCTGCAAAGATGAAGCCTGAGGAGGGTGTGTGGGGGGGGGAGAAAACAGGACAGATCGAAATTTCATCCTCAGAAGTATATCAAAGTGACTCCTGTCAGCATTGCATCAAAGCGCAGAATCAGGAACTGTTCATTTCTACAGCTGAACGTGAGGCTGAGGGGGGGTTTCTGGGGAAACAGGGTGGGAAGGTGAGGACTGTAAATTATGTCTGGTGACTTAGAGGAAAAATGATGACAATGAAAAGCACCTTGTCAAACTCTGCCATTTTTGGATTTATGACAGCCTGGTCAGATAAGGCTGTGACGGAGGGGAAGTTGACTGTTGGGACAAAGCGAGTGATTTTAAAGGGTCTCGTCTCTCTAGTCAACCTAAATCTCATTCATTCCACATTTTGAACTTGGAGGTTGATTTTTGCAACTTAAATTATCCTAATTTATAAATGGATCCAGCCAACACCAGTAAGAAAATCCTTCACATGAAGAAATCCTGTATGTGCACTCCAAAATAAAACAACTGTACTGACAATACAAGAGCCTGATAACAAAGTGATAATTTTGTGGTGAGGAAAACAAGTGCAGTGAGCACAAACACGATCCGAGTATAACACAAAACAGCATGGACAGTTACCATGGGGCAAGCCTTACCTAAGCAGTCTGGATAAACAAGTGTGTCTGTCTGTGTGTGTCTTTGCTTGCACAGGCCTGTAGTGCTACAAGACACAGAGATATGACTTATGCGCAGCGATGATAAATATTAGCAGGCTTCAGGCTGAAAAGAATCCAAGGCAACCAAAATCTGTTTTTGTCCCGGGGCCAAACTCTGCACCGCACTGTGGGCCACTTCTGATTTCACCACTAGCTGGTGTAACGCAACCAGCCATGCATTAGCATTGGCCCTGCAGTTAGAGCTGGCTCTTAGGATCCTGTCACCAGAACTTATCATACTCTCTCTCTCTCTCTCACACGCACACACATAGCAGCTTGTTTTCTTCTGTTACATTTCAGGCTTAATGGGGCTTTTTTTTCTCTTTTATTGAAGCACATAAATAAGAGATGTTGTGAAAAGCTGAATAATATATCATTTGACCAGCGCTTTTGCAATGTGCACATGAGTGACAGAGACTTTGCTGTTTCCCGTATAAAGTCTGCCTGATATCTGTTTTTGGTAGTCCCTCGCTCAAACACAGAGAGTGCTGACCAGTGTGCATGCAGGGTCTGTATCTGTAGAGTGTAAATATTTTAATATTACTATGACACACAAAAAACATGCTAATCTGGTATGAAGTCCTGTATTTTTTTATATCCCAATAGAAATAGCAGGAAAAGAAAATTATTTTAATATAGTTCAGCCCTCATGTTGTGAGACTATTTTTAGCTCCTGATACAAAAAGCTAATCTGAATGAGTGAATCAGTTGATGTTGAGTGTAGATCTAATTCCTGAGTAAGACAACACAAACAGCTGTTTATTATTATCCCTGTATGTTTTGGGTTTGATTGCTTTCATTTTTGTACTGCCTGGCTTAGAGAAAGTATGACAGAGAACTTTCTTACATCAGTGTTTGGCAGTCAGTCATAACCGAGGAGGAACATATAAATAAACACGTCTAAATTCAGTAAGTAGGAGATTTGCTTTACACATCTCATTTTATGGTGTCTGCCTGAGAGATTTGGAGAAACATTCATTTTTTTATGTGATGCTGCTTAATTCGTTCATTCGTTCACTCACGGGAAGACACCTGCCTTATAATTCCTGATTCAAAACAAAACTCAGGATCCAAGAATGAATGGAAATCTTCCTTTAAATAAGCGAAGAAGCAGAAATGTGAGTGTTAAGTTTGACCACATGACCTCCTACCACAAGCCATAGCTGCTACAAAACTTAATGTGACCGCTATGATGATAAAATGCTCTACTACCTGTATTTAAACAAGCAAACATGACCAATGGCAACTTGTGGCCTACTGCGGCTTCTTTCTGATCAAGAACATGGAGATAGTTGTTCATATACTGTGTCAGGCTGAACTGCAATGTAATCACAAGTGGAGCAAATCATTACCAGTACAGAAATGTGAATGCTAACCTGCTTTGAAGGCTTTGCTACGTTAGCTACACTCATATCAAACCCTTGATAAAGAAGTTAAGCTAGTGTTAGCAGCGAGAGCAGATGAGAAACACAGATGTTTAACATCATACTGCTTTATTCAGGTCTTATTTACCGTTACATTCTGTGCTATATGCAAGTAACACTGTGCTGGTTATTACCTATCACTATTCATCTTAAATCAGTTCATCCTTGTTGTAAAAAATACGATCATGTACAGCTTACTGCGTAGGCTACAGTATTTAACTGACAGATTAAATTATGTAGTTAAACAAAGATGATTTTATTAAACATGCTTTAAAATTAGAGTGTCAGATCACTGACCCGTACTTTTAGGCAACAAACCTCTCCAGAATCTGCACTGGACCAACACACAGCAGCTCTTAGCAGAGGCAGCAGCAGCAGCACAGACATCCCTCCACACAACATAAAAGCCTGAATCTCTGTGTTTAAGCAGCCGGCCCATCTCTCTCAGCACTTAGAGGGGGGCCCGAGCTAGCAGACAAAGTTCAACAACTGTGAAGAAGGAACTATTAAAGAGGACACACAAAGCAGTGACCTTGACTGACAAGTGCTCTTCATTGTGGCCATAAACAGCAGTGGGGCCTGATAAGTGTTCATCGGTGCGGGGAGTAATGACCTATCCGTCAGCAGCGGTTGGGCTGTGTGAGGTAGTATAAATGGAACATACATAATGTACAGCAATAATACCAGTACGCTCACAGCCTAATGTATTATCATTATTCTTGGGGACTGGGTTTTTTCCCCCTCCCCTAACCCTGCATAGTGTGCCCCAGCATGGCGAGTAAATGCCTCCCAGCTACAATAATTTCATTCTAATCTTTGTTCCATATTATAATTTTCATGATCAGAAATACACCAGGAAGCAACACCACGTTTCTATCACGGGCTAAACAGAACACAGGCCATAACTAGAGGTTTTATGTGACCGTATAACCCTCATTCTTAGAGCACCAGTCAATTTATGATAAGAATGGAGAAAGCTGTAAATTTATGTGTGATGGCCCATCTTAAACAACATCATTACAGGCCAAAGCAGCTTTTGATAGGGCAGTTGAACCAAATGTAGATACTCAGGACATGTTTGAAGGAGATATTAAAACATTCAATTTCAAAAACAGTAAATGGGGAATTTTACTTCAAAGTAAAACAAAGTTAAGAAAATGTTTTGTGTCTTTATTAAGACCTTTATTGTTAAAGTGAGCTGTCCCACAAGATCAGTAAACTGCTTTTTTATTTGATATTTTTGACTGCTGTTATGGAGTTGAACCAATCAACACTGTATAAGAACCAGTCCAATGCAAGAGGGGACACCGACAAAGAAAAAGAAAAGTGGAGTGTGTCTTATTTATGCTGCAGGCGAGGGCGTCTTCAACCAATGCTTGTGTCTGAAATGAAACACAGATCTCCAGACGCACATTCAACCTGCAGAGGGACTGTTTGTCTGACTGTCTGCTGCATTTACCCTCATGTCTTGGTTACAGCTTATTAGCATGTGGGTAAAAAGCTCTGACATACACAGGTAATATAGAAGAATAAATATTGATTATGAAAAATTCAAACAAAGAACAAATGTATAAAAAACTTTGTGAGCTGAGTGTTTTGTCAAACTCCTTGTATCAGGTAAAGAAATAAGTTTGCCCTTACTGTTAGCATCTCCAGTAACTTAAAGAGAAGTACCAAAGCTTTGAGAGTCAGCTTGTTTAACTTAAAAAAATAATATACTGATACATTCTTGTGTTTTTTTTATTCAATTTCAGGCTATAGAAAGCAGTAACACAGCTGAGCTTTAGGTGATACCTGCACTGAGTTAGAAGGTGCCTGGATTCCAGGATGACGTTACAAAACGTTAATATCAGCAGCTTGTAGTTGTACCTCAGTGAAGTGTGATTAGTCACTCCTCTGCCATCGTTGTGGACTTAAATGAGACTAAAAGTCCAGTTTTTTTGACACTGGCTAATATGGTGGTGTTTTAGAAGTTTTGTATAGAAAATAGGTGCTAAAAAAACAGCATTAATGGACACAGGCCCCTGATGTGAATCCACAGACTGAAAACATATCTTAGTCTGATTCTCATTCAAAGCTTTCAAGTTTGGCACGCATCAAAAGGGTGTCATTAGATCAGTCTTTATGCTAAGCTATGCTCCACAGATGAAGTCTCATATACTGAATCAAGAGCTGATTGTCTCACCTCCTAATGGAAAGACGAAAAAATCTATTGTTTTTTTTTCTAAAACTCCAAAGGTTTTTTTTTTTTTTTTAACTCATCTGGTACCTGCCCGGTGTCAGAATGATCATTCAACTTTATTCAAAACCTCTTAATGATATGCTGTACAGACCTTACTGAGTCTCCTTTTATAAGATAACTCTAAAGCAGATGTCATGGAGTAAAAAAGTGAAAAAAAAATTAAAAAAAGACTCAAGTAATGTTGTAAATATTGGAAACACAGAATTTTAATATGGCATTGCCAAAGAGACTGTATTGAAGATTTGCTAAGGTCTTATGCTGTCAGTCTTAAGTTTGCTAAGAAATGAAACAATGAGTTTCAAAAAGACAATCTCAGCTCTTTTCTGAAGAACACTTTTCTGCAGGTCCATAAATAAATAAATTCAATTTTTGTCTATGAAGGTTTTTCAATGAAATAAATGCCAGAATTAGACATTTCCAAACAACTCTCTGACAAACAATGTTAATGAAGGTTTAATGATCTGTTTCCAAAAATGCTCACACCCTAAAATACTACCTGGTGGAGTGTAATTCAGTCTAGAGCTAAGACTGGCTGTGCTGAGAGTCACCATGCAGCACTGTTAATTAACAGGTGTTTCTGAGGCCTCCCACACACATACTGCATCACAGTCACAGCCAATGTCCTGATCCAAATCTCCTCTCTGCTCCACAGAAACAAAGATCTGCAGCGTTACTACACAGCCCAGCATTCCTACACCACACTGTGTTGTTCGAGTATTCTTGGAAACTAGAAGAAACTCCATCAGGGATACAGGAATAGCTTTAGCCACATTTCCTGGAAACTGTTGACACAAAAACTAAATTCATACTCGTTGTTCTCGCATTGTGGTAGCTACTCTGATGAGATTATTTTCAAAGATTAACTCATGTAGAAGGGGATAAAGGCAAAATCTGAATGTTATAAATATAGCATGCATGCCCATGTCGTCTGGTCCAGGTATCCCTACAGAACAGAGGAAAAATGAAGGATGCCTCCAAAGCGTGCAGACAGTAATCTCCCCTGTGGAGGTCAAATCTAACATGGCAGGTTAGTGTCTGTGGAGATTGACAGCCTGGAGAAATACTGCTGCCAGGCACCCTCAACGCACAGTGACAGTAAACACCTCCCAGGAAAAAGGCTGGTTACCAAGCCTTATAGAGCGACTGTCAGAGGGCGCCAGGCATCAGAGCTGCTGCCGACTCCACACTGACACACTCTGTCAACCTCTCTATCATATCCGAGCCATCTCAATAATGTGAACATCAAAGTCGCCCAGGAAGTATACCCATCTAACCTGTACACATCTTCATCAGGAGTATTTGAGGAATGTCATTTTCTCTGCAGTCATTACATGTTTGATGAACACAAATAATACACCTTTTCTTCGGTCCTGAGCTTTTTTTTTTTTTTTTAACCAAATGAGGACAACGTGACTTTCCTTTTACCATGTAGTATAGATCTATATGAACTGTATGTGGATCACTACTCAACCTTAACAAAAGATAAGGCTTTTTTGTATCATTGATGGCTAAAATCTAATTGACAGATTTATCACTGGAGTCAAATATTGAAATAAGACACATAAAACAGATTTATCTTTAAATATGCATCACTGACATCTCGACTTTGAATTCTCACAGCGAGACATCATGACGTTAATTCATAAAGTCTGCAATTTACATTTTTGGGGCTCTTTCCTTTAGGTTATCGCTTATCTCTATATATTGTTATACTGTTTGACCATTACTATTGTCATATGCGTATTACTCACATTGCTAGATGTGCGTTATGAGTCAGATATCATGTGACACATCATACTTTTATCAGTTCTTCATTAACAGTTGATGAAGTCTGTATCTGTGTGTCATGACTGTACGAAATAAATACCCTCACATCACTCCAATTCAGCGAGACTTGTTTCTGTGCCTTGTGCGAATATTTAATAATGTTGAAACTTTGAAGAGGACTGCAGAGAACAAACAGATTATTAATGGTCTTTTGATATAATCAGTGACATATCGGCCCCAACAAGGCCAATATTACGGTTATCTTTCCAAATAACAAATGCATATGGAAGCATATTAACTAGTGTTCGATACAAAATTTGTTATGTATAAAATTATGCAGTTCAATAATAATAAAACTAATAATACTACTCTTATTATAATACTTAGCTTGGATTTTTTTTTTTTTGGCTAATTTCAGATAGCAAAGTCCCTTGTGTTGGTTATGAGCTAAAATCTTTGTGCCAAATGATTTTCTGTCTACATCTCTGATAAAATATTCACTCTCATCCGTTATTTCTCATTTCTAATCCGCGATTATTATTCTTATACCAGCTGACCTGCTCTGTCATTATCAGCTGATACTGGTCGAACTCTTCTGCAAAGCTTTTTTTTTCTGTAGAGCTTCTAAAGGGTAGAGTAAAAATAACAAAAGAAGATGGTGAGTTTCTGTCTTGTAAGTTTCAATTATAAGGGATACAGATTAAGCATAACTTAAAGTATTATTAGAAACTGTTAATGACATATGACCAAGTAAACTGCACCTGTAAGTAAAATTTTGCTTAGAAATTGGCAGCTCTACCTGTACTTAGGGGAAATGTGACACCAGAGGAGTAGAAGTAGGGACGTGGATTTGATTTAAAAGCAGAAAATAGATGAAGAAATCCAAATAATGAAAAGTAATATTGTAGGATTGACAATAAGATGAGTGTTGTACCAGGTATCAAATCAGGCATTGTATAAGGTAATGTATCTGATATTGTATTGGGTATCATACTGAATCATTATGTATTATATAGAGTATATAACCTGTAATTTCCACCCCTAATCCGAAGCATATAATCACCATTATACAGTGTAAGTCATCTATATTCTCACAATCATGCAGTTGTCAATGAATAATGTGCACTCTTCATACAAAAAAATCATCATTCAGTCAGAGAGAACAAAAGACTGCTGGCTGTAAGAAAACTCTCGCAAAATTACACAAAAATTGGAAAAATACATAAAAAAGATTTTTAAAAAAAACAACACTTACATTTTAATAATGTTGTTTACTGGTCTTTTGTAGGAATTGTAAAGCAGTACAGCACAGCACTAATTGCATGAAATATGTTATCATACAGGCTTGTGCTGTCTGCCTTTCATAAACAAAGGCTGACAGATCATGCCCTCAACCAGTGACCCCGCTGTGAGCATATGCACTAATGCAAGGTCACACTGGAGACTGGCCACATGAGGAGAAAACAGCCATCCAATTTGCCTTGTGAGCCCGACACAGACACACACTACTGATGTAGTCATCATGCCCTACAATAAAATGTCAGTGTGTTAAACGGGGCCCTTTTTTCATTAGCGGCTCTAATAAATGGTGCTTCTGTAAAATAGAGGAAACCCTTTTATGTCTGTGTGAGGAGAAAATGATAAAGAGATATCACTGCCAGAAAATCTGTTGTACGCTCAATGTCAAGGAGGCTTCTCTGGCTCCCACAGAGCTCAGCTGTGTGCTAAAGCATAACAGCCCCTCATTTTCATAGTGGCAGGTGGCCATCTTTAAATCACAGATCTACATACAATACCAGCCATGTAACATTGGTTGGAGATTTTTAACACAATAGTGCATCATGCCATGCTTCCTTACAGACAAATACGAATTAAACAGTTGATTAAAAAAAGTGGCTAAAGCATCAAATTTCAGGAAAAACTCAAATCTAGAGCTCTGGTTTTCTAATTATGACTGACAATGGGGTTGATAGGAGAGTGCTATGAGGGGGTGACGTAGGTTATGAGGGGGTCGAGGAGGAGGCAGAAAAGACAAGCAGACAGAAAGAGGAACAGACCTATAGCCTGATGCCGTTCCCCCTCATCCTCTGCTTGCCCTTTGTCATGCACCCTCCTCACCTCCAGAGCTGTCACTGGCTTGTCAGAACCAATCACAGGATGCCATGCTGTCTGCCAGCCATGTACCAGTTTGGACAGGATGACATCAAATTTCTGGTGCTACGTGTCAAGGACCATATGAAAACAGATGTCCTCATTACTGGGTCGCCCGTGCTTTAGAAATACTTGCACGCTCACCTTTTTTTTAAAAATCAGAGTCCGAGATGTAATATTTGACTCTAAACTTATTTTTTTTATGTAGCTTAGCAATGAAATGCACTAAAATGTAACAAATAATCATGAGAAAAAGGAGAAAAAACATTGCGCGATTAATTATATCTAAGCTCTCATGTTTGTAATAATGCTTCATAAATGCTCAAATTTACAGAACTAAACAAAAAATGTGAAAAAAAAATTAAAAGCCATCACAGTGGGATAAAACAGTGGCATGTCCAAGCCTGGTGTTATGCATATATGAGGCCCTCTGAGATCCAGCATGACAAAAGTAACTTTATTGAATGGGACAGATCGCTGCTTGTCTGACTGACTTAATCTGTTTGATTGAGCAACGGGACGCCTTCGGCTTCACAAGTCCTTCAAAGGCCGCAGATTCTGCAAGTGTGAAAAAAAAGAGGGAGGAAAAAAGGAAAAGAGAAAAAATACCCCCCACACACCACCACCACCACCAAAACCCCCCCTCCTCACCCTTTCTACTGCTATACACATGCACACAAACAAACACCATCAGAGCTTCTGGAGGGTTTATTTATTAGCTTTAAACATCTTATTCATTGCCCTACCACCTTAGTCCTTTCAGGTCATCAGCCTCCGACAAAGACCCTTAGCCTGGAAAATCTGTCAACTGTCAGAGACATTGATTAGGAGCAGAACTCTGGGCGGATGCAGAGGCTTCATTGAACCCAACCGTTGAAGAGTAATAAAGGGCAGAGTTTGAGGAGCCGGTGCCCGACAATAACACTCCTGCTGCAATTTTCCTTTCAGACTGAAAAGCACGCCAAATTACCGAGTCATACATTCATTTGCTCATGCTTCACGATCTTATTATTGGGATCTAACTTTCCACTCCTCCCCTTTTCTTTTTACCATGCAGGCTGTACACAAAGCAGACCTAAGCTATCATTGTGCTTGATCTGAATTTTATTTAGAGCTCCATATGCTTCTCCAGCCTCCTCTCAAAGCCTGGTGTTGATGCTTGGCCTCTCTTGGCCCGTTAACCATTAAAAGAGGGGGCCATTCTGTCACCGTGAAGCCTATTGTCGACCATTGAGGTTAAGAGACAAAAGTGTGAGATCATGAATGAGTGCTTGGCAGTCTATATTGGAGGTTTTCACCCACACATGTGAAGCGAGAGTCCACACCTGATGTGATTCAGGCATCTGCTCTGAAAGGAAAAAGGCTTTATTTCATTTCTCTATTTCTGACTGGCTCCGTTGAAAAAGAGGTTTGTTTTTATTTTCATTTAAAATGACAGACTTATTTTCAACATCATCCATCCTGGTGGTGCCATGGCCATGTGGCATTTGCATATGGTTTCTCTCCTTGTGTCTCATGGCAAATGTAGCTGTCTACCTACCTAACCAGAGCTTCTGGCTGCCCCGAGCACCAGGCTCACAGTTATCTGCACATGAGACCACAAAGGAGCTGGATGAGGCCCCAGAGATACTCCACACCTCACAGCAGGCAGCAGACTGCAGAGTTCCCCCTCCAACTGTCTCTGGGGGCCCCCTCTGAACATACATTTCCCCTTGCACTTTCTCCCCTCGAAGTAGCCAAAGCTGTGTCTCTCAGTCTCCAGGTCCCCCCTTAGTGACAATTTGTCCACATCAGAGAGCCGTCATCCCTAACCAGATCTGACTCGTGACACACAGATGGGGAGGGGCCAGGCACGGCCAGTACTAGCGCTGGGTGCCTGGCTGCCCCGGGGCTACAGAAAAACGCCATGCTCAGACTGGCGTGTGAGAGAACACAACTGCTTTCTGCTAAGCTCTGCTTTACCACCATAAGCTCTACCAGCCCACAGCCCACATCGCAAGAAAATGAGAGGAAATGTAAAGTGTAAAGGAAGTGTAAAAAAGGAAAGTTGTATTTGTAACTGTGAATCTACCACCAACTTCAATTTAGTACAAAGCTCTAAAGTGCAGGAATTTCAGTGTTGTGAGGATTCGATCAATCTCTTCGACACCGTTTGTCATTTTTTTCAAAGCGTATGAAACTAAAAGTATTATTTTCTACTCAACCAGAACCCTTTTTCTTCCTCACCTACCATCTGCTGTCACTGATTTGACCAGCTTATACAAATGCAAATAAAGATAACGCATGCCACTTTAGCAAGCCATTCACAGCCAGAATAAGCACTTTCTTAGCACACAGACACACAATAAGTCTGTGACTAAACAGTAAATCAGGTGAAATAAGCTTTGCTTTCAGCTCCTCTTTCATTTACATCTTAAATCAAACATAAGGAAAGCTGGCCAAAATTTTCCTCAAGGCCATCAGCCAATTTCTGTCTGCAGTTCTGCCATTCACTATGGCTGCAATCTGTATGCGTCTTATTAAATATCCTTGGCTTAATTTCTAAAGAAGTACCAGACAATGAGGCTCAATGACCGTGGTTGCATCTTCCATTTCTTCACAAAACCCTTATGTTAATTAGGTTATAATGCTGACATATGTTGGCTTAGTGTCAGGGGATATAAGACACACACACTGCACACCCTCTAACCCCCCCACATGGGTTGACCCTGTATCCTAAAATCAGCCTCTCTGTTCCGGTCAAGTGCATCAGCCAGGCAAATGTATGCAATTAGGTCATGTTGGCCAGTGTTAGCCAGGCAGGGGGCGACAGTCCTTGCTAGTATCTTAATAAAAAGTAAGATAGTATCAAGAAACTGGGGGATCAACAGTCTGAGGGAATCACCTCATGAATAGGACGACAGATAACAGAGCAAAAGCAGGAGTAAAATCAAATTATCCTCCAATATGCTC